AGCTGAGTGCCAAAGAATTGATGCTTTTGAACTGTGGTGTTGGAGAAGACTCTTGAAAGTCACTTGGACTGCAAGGAGATCCAACCAGTCCATCCTAATGGAAATCAGTCCTGAATATTCATTGGAAGGACTGATGCTGAAGCTGAAATTCCAATAGTCTGGCCACCTGATGCAAAAAACTGACTCATTTGAAAAGACCCTGATGCTGGGCAAGATTGAAGGCAGGAGGAAAAGGGGACAACAGAGGATGAGGTGGTTGGATAGCATCAGTCACTCAATGGACATGAGTTTGAGCAAGCTCTGGGAGTTGGTGATGGACAGGGAAGCCTGGTGTGCTGTAGTCCATGGGGTTGCAAAAAGTCAGACATAACTGAGCAACTGAACTGAACTAGGAATGACAAGGAATGAGATTTGGTTTCTCAGGGGGGAAGGAAACAGGAGGATTAGTCTATGGCATCAAATATTTGGAAAGCAAAAATCCCAAGTATGTCTTACTCTTTTGCTATTAAAGTCATATATCTGAAGTCTTCAGTCCTCTGGATATAAGAAGAAGTTTCACAACTGAAAATCTGGCATGATTTTTCACACTGACAAGAAAACCTGTTAGAGGTGGGTACAACTGTGTATCACCTCTATGAAATACTCTCCTTCTAAAAAGTTTTGGTAGTTTTTTTTATGGATAATATTTCATATTTGAAGTTTTAAAAATGATTATTCAAAATAATATTGTCAGTGTAATATAGTTTTGTTAGAAACAATAAGCTTTGCTGTCAGAGGCAAAGGAGTCCTCAGTACTTAGGCTTAAAATCCTTTGATAATGCTAGAATTGGACTTATTATATTTTTGTAAATTACTGTTGTAAATTATAACAGTATTAATTCATAAATAAGTATATTTTTAATATTATCTAAACTTAACTCTAAAGATAAATTCTTTATGTCTGCTGTGTGCTACGTGCATGCTAAGTTGCTTCAGTCATATCCAACTTTGTCTGTAGCCTACCAGGCTCCTCTGTCCTTGGGATTCTTCAGGCAAGTTGTGTCCTCCTCTGGGGATCCTCCCAACCCAGGGATCGAACTTACATCTCTTAAGTCTCCTGCATTGGCCAGTAGCTTCTTTACCACTAGTGCAACCCAAGTAGATTACTAAGTTCTATTCTTTTTTTTTCCTCTTTCTGATCTTTTTTCTTCTCCACCAGCCACCTAACTGGTTTTCCTGAGTTCACTTATTGTGTTGAATTGTGCCTGTTGATAACTTTGTTGAATTTGGGGCCATATATCCTGAATCCCTTTTCTGGTGAGTTTCCCTTAGTTTTGATCAAGTGAGGAGCTTGGGTGAAAATACAGAAATGGAAGCCCACCAGATCCAGAGATGAAAAGGTGAAGACGTTCCTGGCAGGTCGCATTTTGTCTTCGCTGTCCTTCACTTGATGGCCTCTCATTTTCCTGACCACTGGACCTGCTGCCCAGCTCTGGCCCCAGGTCCACCATCAGATGCTTGGCCTCAGACCCACAGAGGCGATGGCCACCAGAGGCCACAGCCCCCTCAGAGTCCCCCCGAGCTCCCCTCACAGCCCCGCTTCACAGACTAACCGCGCTTGCCTCCTCAGATCTTCCTTCGAGCTCTGTCCTATGCAGAGGTCGGTGTACCCTGGAAGCAGGCTAACGACTTCTATCCCATAACTCTTCTAGACCGTCCTGCTCCTCCCACAGCTGTGAAAGCTCTAGTTCCTAGGCTGTTGTTCTGTGGGTGCTCAGTCGTGTCCGACCCTGCAACCCCATGGACTGTAGCCCACCAGGTCCTCTGTCCACAGGATTTCCTAGGCAAGAATACTGAAGTGGGTTGCCATTTTCTACTCCATCTAATTCTTCTAGTAAATCTCTTTGCCATGACACTCCTGGTGCCTTTGCTTCTCCAACTAAAGCCAGACTGATCCATCCAGGGGTTCATCCATGGCTTTTCGCAGAGCCAAATTCTTATAGTGGAAATGCTCAGATCTGACCCTCCCTCTCACATTAATCCTTGACTCTCAGAATCTCTCTTTTAAAGCCCCCAGTGTACAGGATTCTGAATTCCTTCCTCTGGCCGCGCCTGGCCCCCACACCGCCCCCACACCTGCATCCTTTAGAGACCAAGGCGTAGATTCCCTCTCGAATCCGCAGCTCATCCTGTGCCTTTCTAGCTGGGGCCTTGCGAAAGTTGTTCAACATTTACTAGATGCAGCTTCCTCACTTGTAAAAGGCAAAGAAGGATCCTAGCTACCTTATGGAACCCATGTGAGGTATCACTACAAAGCTGTCCACATATACCAACTGGCTGCCCTTTCCTTATTCTCCACCAGTCCTTCGCCACCCTCCACGGAGGAGGAGGAGGAGGCCCTGGGGGTCGACGCAGTCCACCACCTCTGACCCCGTGACCCCAGTGGATGAGACCAGAGTGGGAACCGTGGGCAGAATCCCTGAGCAGTGGGGCAGGGGCATATGGATTCAGGGTCAAGGGAACTTTGCCTTTTGTTTTTTCCCCTTAAGAGTTATTTATTTTTGGCTGCGCTGGGTCGCTGCTGCTGCGTGGGGGCTTTTCTCTGGTTGCAGTGTGTGGTGGCTCATCTTTGTTGTGGTGCTTGGGCTTCGCGTTGCAGTGGTGTCTCTCGTTGCAGAGAATATGCTCGAGGTGTACAGGCTCAGTGGTTTCGCCATGGCATGTGGGGTCTTCCTGGACCAGGGATTGAACCAGTGTCCCTACATTGCAAGGCGAATTCCTTACCACGGGACCACCAGGGAGGCCTCAGCACTTTGTCTTTTAACGTGGCTGATTGTTCCTGTGAGTGATAATCATGAGGAAGCCACATTAAAAATTTGCTTACATCAATGTTGGTTACGGGTTTGAAGAATGGAGAGAATTTTTTAAAAGGAACTTAGCTCTAAAAGCAATACTAACTATAGGTGCTTATATCCATGGCTTATTGTGTGTGTCTAACAATCAGCATGCAGCACAATGACAAGGAGGCGGATCCCTAAGTTCACTACACTGCTAACTCATTTCATTCCACTGCAACTGTAGCTTCTCTCTATGGACGCTTGGCTGTGTAAGATTTTTGTTCAGATAACGTGTTCTTCTGCCAACAACTCAGGTTGATGAAAGGAAGAACAATTCCCACAAAGATAGTACTAATATTCAGGGATCTTTTTATATTTTACCCCTCTAACGGTACTACGGGAAAGTTGTTATTCCCATTTTTTCTGATAAAAAACAAAGGCTCAGAGAGTTTAAATAAATGCCTAAATCCATAAAAGTATAAATTGGACTCAAATAATATTCTTTTCCAAGCTCCTGTTTGAATATGTGTGGCAAATCTGTTCTGTTGGAAGTTATTTAATGATACACATAAATTCCTTAATTAATGGCATGAAAATGTGGAAAGAGATGGCTTGGCCTCAACTGGGGTTTAGAGTTCCAGATACAGGGGCAAGGGTGTGATGGCTTATTTCTCCTTGGGGTCCAATTTTCTTAGATTTTTATTTGTGTGTGTTTGCCTGCACTTTGAATTCTGTTGGCTTCCTAAGAGCTCCAAACTTTTATAAAATAATTCTTTGGTCTCCCCAGCATGTTCTAGCATCTGTGAGCTACTTGAACAGCCTAGCACTGTCTTTAATATTTCAGATACCATAGTCTGTTTCAAACAAATTATACTGGTTCCTATTGACTGTAATTCTCTCTCAGGTAGACCACGTGGGTTCTTATGCCTGATGATTCTTGAGAAGAGGATGCTACAGTTGATCCAATTTGTTTTTAATTGAAGCATAGTTGATGTATGATATTATATTAATTATAGATGTATAAGATAGTGATTCACAATTTTTAAAGTTTATATTTCATTTATAGTAATTCTAGAATATTAACTATATTCCCTGTGTTGTACACTGTAATCTTGTAGCTTATTTTTTACACAATCGTTTGTACCTCCCCACTAGTAACCACTAATTTATTTTTTACATCTGTGAGTCTATTTCTTTTTTGTTGTTATATTCACTAGTCTGTTGTATTTTTTAGATTCCACATATAAGTGATATCATACAGTATTTGTCTTTCTCTGTCTGATTAATTTCACTTAGCATAATCCCCTCCAAGTCCATGCACATTGTTGCAAATGGCAACATTTCACTCTGGTTTTGTATATGTATATATACAAATATACATATACATATATACCCCCCCCACACACATACATAGATATGAAAGTGAAAATTCTAGTCAATCGTGTCCAACTCTTTGCGACCCCATGGACTGTAGTCCGCCAGGCTCCTCAGTCTGTGGGATTTCCCAGGCAAGAATATTGGAGTGGGTTGTCATTCCCTTCTCCAGAGTACCTTCTCCAGGGTATCAGTCAGTTGTGTTCAACTTTTTGCTACCCCATGGACTGTAGCCTGCCAGGCTCTTCTGTCCGTGGGATTTCCCAGGCAAGAATATTAGAGTGGATTGTCATTCCCTTCTCCAGGGTATCTTCCCGACCTAGCAGGCAGATTCTTTACCATCTGAGCTACCAGGGAAGCCCATGTATATAATATATATACCCACCACATCTTTATTGATCCATATGTTGATGAACATTTAGGTTACTTTCATAGCTTGGCTATTGTAAATGATACTGCTATCAACATTAGGGTGCATACATCTTTTTGAACTATTACTTCTATTTTTGTGGCTATATACTCAGGAGAGGGATTGCTGGGTCCTACAGTAGTTCTAGTTCTAGTTTTTTGAGAAACCTTCATACTATTTTCCACAGTGGTGGCACCAATTTATAGTCGCACCAACAATGCATGAGAGTTCCCTTTCCTCCACATCCTCTCCAACAGTTATTGTTTCCTTTTTGATGATAGCCATTCTGACAGGTGTGAGGTGATAGGATGGTTTTGGTTTGCATTCCCCTGATGATTATTTAGGCTGAGCATCTCTTCATGTGCCTGTTGGCTATGCTCCTATGTTGTGCTGATCTGATGGCTCTGAAATTCACCTGCAGGGTGTGGAGGGGAATGAAAGTTTGTCAAGACTGAAGAAAAGGAAAATGCGGTAAAAGCAATGTTTATGATGCTTTGAAATCTTGAGAAAGCTGACTTGCTTTATCCTCTTCAATGGTGTTTGAGTCACCCTTCTTACTTCCTGGTTGGCAGTTATTTCATGTCCCCTGAAAAAAATGCATCAATCATCCAATGAATGGTATACAAATTAATTCATGGACATGAAGATTAACATGCAATCTGTTAACGCTGTGCTAATGAGCTTATGATTTTCACAAAATAGACCAATTTTGAGTTTTATCAACCTCAGTGGTTGAAATTAATATGGAAATGGCAACATTTGTTTTTTGTTCTCCCCACAAAGCAACTAATTATTTTTCTCTGGGTAATGATAATTAGCAGAATTCCTCTCATGTTCCTGACCAGTGCACAGCTGGTATTCGAAAAATCACAGAGACTTGTTTTTATGTGGTGACATTAAACCCCTGTCTAACTTGGGAAGTGCATTCACTGTATGCTCTTGCCCTCAGTTTATTAATTCTAAATTATGCCTCGATGAACTTCTCAAATTGGGAGCAAATTTACATTAATAAATTGTCATCAGTCAGAGAGAGGGAGGGAGGGAGGGAGTGTTATCATAATGGTCTACTACTGAGTGTAGGTTTTGTCTGCCTCAGATGTTGTAGTTGGGCTTATCATTTTGATCATTTGAATAAGGTGTATTTTTAAAGAGGCATTCTTCTTTCAGTTAAGCAGACGTGTGCTTGGTGGGCCTTGGCTTGGGGCTGGGATGCGTTCAGAACACTACTTACCCCCATTCCTTGGGCTTTCTGGAGTGTAGATCTGGACCAGGACTGGTCAGAGGACCTATTGGATAAACATCACCAAGGGTTTCCAAAGCTCTGTAGGGCAACTGAGTAATAATCATCTTTCTTGTTCTTTACATAGCAATCCCCTTAGGAACAGGGTCTGTGTATCAATATTTTAGCTCCAAGTTTTGCACAGTGCTCAGAAGCTAACAGGAGAAGGAAATGGCAACCCACTCCAGCATTCTTGTCTGGAGAATCCCATGGACAGAGGAGCCTGGCAGGCCACAGCCCATGGGGCTGGCAAGAGTCAGACACAACTTAGCGACTAAACCACCACCAGAAGCTAACAAGTGGATGAATGAAGACAGGTATAGAGAAAGACTGCCATATTCAATCCCGGCTACCCAAGGAGGCTTGATACTAACTGAACAATGCATGGTGATTGTGTCTCACAATCATATAGATGAAACCATGTTTGCACTCATATTACCTTAAGAACACTAGTGAATGTTATGTGTTTTTGAAGTTTCCACTATGGCAAATTTTGAAATATGCTGATACTTTATGCTGGTGAGGCTATGACACAGTGCTCAGAAGCTAACAGGAGAAGGAAATGGCAACCCACTCCAGCATTCTTGTCTGGAGAATCCCATGGACAGAGGAGCCTGGCAGACCACAGCCCATGGGGCTGGCAAGAGTCAGACACAACTTAGCAACTAAACCACCACCAGAAGCTAACAAGTGGATGAATGAAGACAGGTATAGAGAAAGACTGCCATATTCAATCCTGGCTACCCAAGGAGGCTTGATACTAACTGAACAATGCGTGGTGGTTGTGTCTCACAATCATATAGACGAAACCATGTTTGCACTCATATTACCTTAAGAACACTAGTGCATGTTATGTGTTCTTGAAGTTTCCACTATGGCAAATTTTGAAATATGCTGATACTTTATGCTGGTGAGGCTATGGAAAGCACGCTACGTAACCCTTTAGGAAATAAATTTAGCAATCTCTATCAAGAATTTGGATGATTTACTTGTTTTCTTTGATGTGGCAAAACTCAGTCTCAGGAAGGCAACTTTAAGGAAATAATTTAAAATAGAGAAAAAATTTTTGGCACACCAAGATGCATGTCTCATTTTTTTTTAAATCATGGCAAACTAGAAACAAGCTAAGCTTCCAACAACACAATGATGGTTAGTGACATGTGGCATATTCACTAACTGCAGCTTTACTTGTTGATGTAAAAACGCTTTTCAAGATTTTATAGTAAGATAAAAAATTACTGTTTAGGTCTAAAATTAATACATTATTCTTGCAATTAAAATTTCCTGTATAGAGGAAAAGCCTGGGAGGAAATATTATTAAATCTAAGAATAGAAAAAAGATAAAAATCCACCAAATATTATTGTTTTTGTTTTTCCAAATTTAAGTGCATCCCTTTGATTGTATCTCCTCTTCTCTCTCCTCTGAGAACATGTGACCTTGCCCCAGCTCGTTCCTTCTCTGTGTTCTGTTATCCAAACCAGATTGGATCATGGTGGTTATCTGACTCAAGGTGTGGAGATAGATTTTCTCTCCAAGGTATTTACACTGGGAATTCAGAGAAAGCAAGTCAGTAGGTATGCATGCCTTGGATTTAAGGACATGCTTGGGGGGTACAGGCATCTTCCCCTGCTTGTAGAAAGAAAGCAAATTTTCAGAAAAATAGGAAGAAAGCAGAAATATGCAGAAAGTATAAACAATGTGGGACCCCAGAGAAAAACTTGTTTCTGATGACTTCTTAGTTTCCAGTTCTAGCCCTCACGAGGCCTGGCTGAATGTTGTAAGATATTCTTGTGTCTTTATATTATTCATATTATCATTATTTTTCTCATAATTTTAAAAATTGTATAATACTGTTTATCGAAACTTCCAGAATAAGCAAATCCATAAAGACAGTAAACAGACTAAGGGGTGTGAGGGGCTATGGGGGAGGCTGCTAATGGACATGGGGTTTCCTTTGTAGGTGATTCACAACACTCTGAATGTACTAAATACCTGTGCATGGTACACTTTCAAATGATATACTTTCAGATGTTAGCTGGAATGAAGTCTACATAAGTAAGACCGTCTCTACTTTGGGATATTTAAAAATTATCCAAAGTGATTATGCATTATTACTAAAATACTTTTACAGCAAATATAATAATTGATGTATTTTTTAAAAACAACAGATATTTTATCAAGAGCCCTTGTTGATTTGCTCTTTGCAATAAATGAGAAGCCACATCATTCATGGCCATAGTAGTATAGTGTTTCTAATGGTCCTATTTTTATAATTTTGGGGAAGTATGATAATTTCATTTCTTTCTAACCTATGATTATTTTGTTATTTTAAGCAAACTTACTGTGACCAATTTCATTTTTAAAATGATAAAGAAGATGTCCATTAAGGTGAGTTATATCTGACGGTTCTCACCAATGTCATTGCCTTACCTTTGTCCCTGGATCTTGGCCAGAAAGACAAAAATTATGTTTGCCACCACCCAACTGTTAGAAACGCTCAAGGACAAAAGCATTAATGATAGGACACATTGTTCATAATGTATTTATTCAAGAAAAACACCAGTCCCCATTCTAATTACATTAAAAATTCTAACTGTATAAAGAAAAACCTGGAAAGAAATATACTTTACCATTAACTGTGGTGTAACTGACTTTCAGCTTTATAAAAAAGTTAAAATTTCCTTTTTTTACTTCGTATTTTTCAGATTACCTACAGTGTGTATGAACTTGTTAATAAAATGATTTAAAAGTTGAATTTTTAGTGAAAAAACAATTACCTTAATCACTAGAACAATCTTCTTGTCTTCTCTCCTGATTTTATCAGGATGAAGGGATATGGAAGTATGGAGGGATAGAGCTTGGGCTTCCTTGGATGCATCACCTGTCAGATGCAGGCCCTTTGACTGCACTTCAGGGGAACGTTTATCAGGAAGCTGTGGACCGGGATTCATCGCTGGTCCAGAGAATCCAAGGCTTACAGCAGGGAATGGCCTAGAGCTCTAGCTCAGGGGGAAGCCTGGCTCTGCTCTTTTCTGTGTGGACTTGAGAAGTTACTCAACCTCTGTATGTCTCAGCTTCCTCATCTGAAAAGTGATGCAGCGTCTCCTCACCGGGTTGTTGAGTGTGAAATGAAAGAGCATTGTATTAGTCACTCAGCACAATCACTGGCTGATAGTAAGTGGTCGTGGAGTTTTTATTTCTACTGTTAGATAGCAGACATAAACCCTCCTATGTACTCTGTAAATCCTCCCTGCCTACCTGCCTCTCCTCAAGCACCCTTTCATAGTCTGGCTTCTATTACGTTACCCCTTGTAGGTAAAGAGCAAATTAGCCAAGATGGCGTGTCAGGCTCTTCTGCTCCCTGGCCACTCGCTCTTGCCCCACATTTTGTAAATAATGACCAACAGCTGAGCTCATTTATAACACTGCGCACCGTCATGAATTACTTTGTGCTGTAGGGAGATAAGAGCGCCACCCAAAAAGCATAGGGATTTACTGCTGCGTCACGGCTCTGTCCCTTGGATCGGCCATGAGAGGCGAGAATAAAGCGTGAATGCTACGGCGGGTGCGTCAGTCAGGAGAAAATACTGTTACGGCTGCTGCGTCAGCCAGAAGAGAATGAACGCGTCAGCCGGAAGAGAATGAACGCGTCAGCCGGAAGGGAATGAACGCGTCCGCCGGAAGGGAATGAATGCGTCCGCCGGAAGGGAATGAACGCGTCCGCCGGAAGGGAATGAACGCGTCCGCCGGAAGGGAATGAACGCGTCCGCCGGAAGGGAATGAACGCGTCCGCAGCTCCTCCAGCTCCTCGCGTCTTCTTTCGGCCTTTTAGCTAACGCCTTGCCTACCCTGGCTCAGCGAACCGTGCGGACAGTATGAACAGTGAGAGAATTGCTCCTGTGGACAAGATGAAGAGCAATATGCCCATGTATCTCTATCAATTCCAAAAGTAGTTAAATCAGTGGTTCTCAAACTTTAATGCCCACAGGAATCATCTGGGGGTCTTGTCAAAATGACCAATTCTGACTCTGTAGGTCTGGCCTGGCATCCAAGATTCTGAACTTTTCACAAGCTCCCACGCGAGGTCCGTGTTGTTGTTCAAAGACCACTTTTAGTAGCGAGGACTAGGGTGACCCAGCTCCAGTCTTCATGGAATCACCTCCAGTGTCCTGGCCAAAGTGGTCTCCTTCTTTAGCTCTCAACACACATCATTTACTCTCCAAATTTAGCACTTCTCAGGTTCAGCCTGCTCTGGTGTGTTGCTGTACAGAATTCTGTTCAGTTCTTTCCGAGCTCCTGACAGTAGATGGTGCGGTCCATGCGGGAAGCTGTCGGCATCAGCACAGTGACGTGATCACCTGTGCCTCCAATCATTGTCAAATTATTGAACTAGATGAAAAAGGAGGAAACGATGCCTTAAAATATTATTAACACTGCCATTTACATGAGTATTCACTTAGAAATTGACAACATAAATCAGTTTAATTAGTGGAAATAACGGAAGCCAGTACTGATGTGAAGAATTCCAAATGACAAATAGATGACTGTGTTGTTTTTTTTTTTCTTTAAAAAATGTGTTATTTGTTGTAGAATGCAGAGTGGGATGATATACTGGATGGGAGGACAAGGCCAACCTGAAATGACATGTTTTTCACAGAATATCAAATAAGTGAGTTATAATTTTTTTGGCAAATTGAGTCTCTTGGGAGGTGGTTTAAAAACACCCTCCAAAAGGACCAGAGGCCAAGGTTGAATAACCTGGTGTGCAGGCTGGATGCAAAGCTAGCAGGTTTTGAGGTAATGTGGACTTGCTTCTGTTAGGAGTAATTAGGGGAAATTTTTGTGGGAAATGAGGAAGGTGTGGCGAAGGAATGTGTTGGGGGTGGTCATCGAGAGGATGTGACCAGAAGTCGATTGATGAGCTGGACCCAGGTCGTCAGAGGGCACTCCCTCCTGCCCTCTCCTTGAAATGTACATTCTGACCACAACTCCCACTGGGAAGAGGATTTGAAGGACACAGCCCAGAGTGAGCTTTGAGTTGTTGAGACCATCTGAATGGAGCATGTGATTGAACCCAGCTTGACCTCTATGTAAACTTTTAAGATTCTGGTGGGTGGACAGGTGTGGAGAGCTACTCACCTTGTGGTCACCAAAGACAAGCCTTGAATGTAAGGTCCCTCACTGATTAAACCTGCCACCTGCCAGTCTGGAGTGTCTGCCTCTTTCTCCTTGCCCTCCATGTTAAAGCTAGTTTGTGAAACAAAAGTCTGCTCTTTGGGTGTTTCCTGGAGGCTGGATCTCAGGGCAAGTGCCCCACCCACTTGTGAGGTTTATTCAGCCTACCACAAGCCACCCCTTGTATAATTCTGACCTACCTTCTCTGGATCAATTGGCATTTCAGGAGGACTTTCAACCTTACTTTAAAAAATCCAGTTGAAGAAAACAGAAGAGAAACTCCATTTTCAGTAACCTTTTCCTCATCTGTCACTTATGTCCATAAGGAAGCTTAAAGAATTTTTATCAGTACACTAAAAATCAGATAATTGGCTATATTGTAAAACTTTTCGATGCAGGACTCCAGATCTCTACAGTTGCTGAGAATTCTTATCTAAAAATCATCTAGGCATTGAAACATGTAAACTATCATATGTGAAATGAATCGCCAGTCCAGGTTCGAAGCATGATACAGGATGCTTGGGGCTGGTGCACTGGGATGACCCAGAGGGATGGGATGGGGAGAGAGTTCCCCATCCTGGGGGGGTTCAGGATGGGGAACACATGTACACCCATGGAGGATTCAAGTCAATGTATGGCAAAACCAATACAAAGTTGTAAAGTAAAATAAATAAATAATTTAACTAAAAAAAAAAAAGAAATCATCTAGGGAATCTTCACAATTTCTGTTTTCGTGAAGAGGTCTTAGTGGGGATGAGGTTTACGCCTAACTCTTAAAATTTCATTTTGGTGACTTGTGCCCAGGATCCAACTTTAGTTACAGAGTAAACAGTATTTTCCAAAGACTGACAGGGTCAGCTGCTCGGGGAATGTGGCCGGTGACCTCCCTGGCGGATGATTGTCCTGCTGGCTGCTTTCAAGTTAGTTGAAAGGTAAGCTTTCTTTCTGTATAAGGGCATGGCTGCCTTGGAACGTGTTTCATTTTCTACCGATAAAGCTGAAAGTATATCCCAGGCTCGCTGTCTTAAAGGGCATGGAGCTGTGACTTTGGGGGCAAAGTGATTTGTCATGTCAACACAACTACAACAGCTAAGTTGCTGGGGTTGGGGGAGGAGTGAGCGATGGTGTGAAACCTCATTGCTTTGATTAAGCTACAAAGACACAAGAAAACTTAAATCCAGAACTTCTTTCTGATTTGAGATGTGAGAAACACACATGGGATTCTAATATTCAGAAAGTAAAGACTTCCATCTTTGAATCCTTTTTTCCTGAAGTCTTATTAGTTTAATCTGACTGTTGTCTTCACTCCTGAGACAGCAGTGGTGTGTGTGTGGTTGTGTCTGTGTGTGTATGTGTGTGAGAGAAAGACAGATTTATTGTCTCCTATGAAGTGTATCTGCTATATACATATAATGTATATATTTGTGTGTATACAAATATTTGTATATATGTAAATACAGTGTTTATATACTCTGTATAAATAAAATATCTTGTGGGTGCTGAGTATAGAACAGTTGAGAAAATGGAACTTGCTGGCCTTGGATCCTGGGCTGACTTTATTCAGCTTGTGTGTTACAGATTCTGTAACAGGAGGTAAGAATTTTGTTTCCTATCAGAATAATTGCTCTCTCTCCACGTTGATTGTTATTAGTGTTTGTTTTAAAAACCTCACATTTTATTTTTAAACAAGTTTTGATAGAAGAATTGGTATTTTAAATATGCACATATTGAAAAGATAATACTTTTCAAAGTGCTCACAGCTCTCACTTAATTGAACTATTTTCTAATGCTCCAAAAGAGTGCTCTACCATCAAAAGTGATTTTATAAATAAAATATTTTATTTTAGATAAAGTTCAGTTCAGTTCAGTTCAGTTGCTTAGTTGTGTCCGACTCTTTGCGGCCCCATGAATCGCAGCACACAAGGCTCCTATAAAGAAAATATTTTTATTGAAAATATTCTTTTCCTCCCATTGACTAAGCTGTCTTTCCCAGAGTCATTTAAAAAATATGGCCCAGAACCAAAAATAAGGGCACAAATAGTATCAGAAGAAGTAAAAAAGTAATATTCTGGTAGAAAAGGTTTATGCTTTATTGAAGAGGGATAACTACAAAGGTACCAAGTTGTTAAGCTGTCACTATTGCAACTGTCATTTACTGATATTTGTGGGTTTGCTTTTGTGTCCTCTTGGCAGCTTCAACTTTCAAAAATTGTTTATTACATAGTGACAGATTCAATGTTAAGAACTTGCTCTGTGGACGTGGTCTTTTCACAAGCTGTGGGCATGTACCTCTGGCCTACAGAAGCCATGAGGAGGCTTAAACTTGGTGACCATGAGAGGTTAAAGTCTTTGAGTATTTGCCTGTTTGTCAGATAACAGACCAGAAGACTCAGAGAGATTTCGTAGAATAAGAATTCCCAACTGCTGCCTGAGAGTTTGCAGTGGTCAAAATGGAGAAATAAACTCAGGGAATTCTGGGAACCATTCTCTGCATTTGGTTCTTCACTGTCACCCCCTACTGCCACCCTCATCCCACTGGACCATCAGACAGAGTCTCCTAGAGACAGAGGCATATATTTTGAACCAAAAGCAACACGAGCATCTCCAAAGTTATCTCAGTTCACAGTGGAGGGGGGTCCAGCTAGATTTGCATTTGGCGCCTGGATACCACAGGAAACACATCCTTTGGGTGGGCGATGGGGGTCCTTGGGACAGGCTGTGGCACCTGGAGGCCTGTGCTGAGTGTAGTGTCCTGCATCACTACTGAACAGGCGGGGTTACATGGGCTTCTGACTTGACTGTGGAGCGCATGTAGGACCCCAGTCATGGAGATGCTATGTAGAAACCCATATAAATGGTGTTCCTTGTCTCAGAAGAGGATCCTATTTTAATAAAAAAACATTCATCCTTGGAGCATACAGTGAGGAAGATCTTTGTTGTCTTGCAGACTGTCTTTATTTTAGAAAGAAGACAGCATCGGTTTTTCATGCCTTGAGGATGTCCACCTACCTTGTGAGATTTCAGCAGTAGAGCACTTACAGGTGCTTTTGTCGTGGAGATGAAAGTTCTTTAAATGGCAGGCATGGGGAAATCACCACTATTAAAAAAGCAAAATAAAACTGTATTAACTCTTGGACCTAGTAGATAAAAAAGCCTTTTTATCTGTTTGTTAGCCCTCTTTATGTAAAATAGGTAGCCAACAGGAATTTGCTGTATGGCCCAGGAAACTCAAACAGGGGCTCTGGATCAACCTAGAGGGGTGGGATGGGGAGGGAGATGGGAGGAAGGTTCAAAAGGGGAGGGGATATATGTATGGCTGATTCATGTTGAGGTTTGACAGGAAACAGCAAAATTCTGTAAAACAATTATCCTTCAATAAAAAATAAATTAATTTTTAAAAAGCCATTTTAATAGTGGCAAACTCTACTTTACCCAAGTTTTTGAATATGGGCACAAAATCTGAGCAGTATTTCCCCAACCACACAAGTCATATGGTGATGAGGAACAGAGTGAGGTGACAGTGTCTTGAAGCAAACATTATTTTCTAAGGGTCATTTGCTTCATGTTTGAATGGAATTCTTGCTGGCCTAATGTAGGGTAGACTTTAATTTCCTGTTTGGTGTGACCTGTTGCTCATATTAAATTCCTGGGGGAAAAATCATAAATTCCCATCTTAGACAGGAATTATAGATCTTCCTCTTTTTTTTTTTTAATAACACCTTCATTGAACCATAATGTACATAACATAAAATTCATTCTTTTAAGTGTGCATACAGTTCAGTGCTTTTTAGCACATTCAGAATTTATATGTCATCATCATTATCTAATAATTATCTAATTATCAGAATATTTTCATCATATTCAAAAGCCCCACCCCTACTCATTAGCAGTCACTCCACAGTCTGCCTTTCCCCTCAAACCTTGGCAACGATGGCCTGTTTCTATGGATTTGCCTATTCTGGGTGTTTCATATGAATGAATCACAATATATGGCTTTTTGTGACCAGCTTCTTTCACTTACCATATTTTCAAGGTTCATTCACATTGTTGCATGTATCAGGACTTCATTCTTTTTTATTACTGAGAAATATACCTCTGTGATACATCCCCTTTATGATTTCACATTTTGACTATTATGAATAATGCTATCATGAACACTTGTTTACAAATTTTTGTGTGAACATATGTTTTCACTTTTCTTGTGTATATACCTAGTATTAGAATTTCTGGCTAATGTGGTAACTGTATATATAAGATTTTGAGGGATTCCTACACTGTTTTCTAATGTGACTGTTCCAGTTTATAACAACAGCAGCATATGAAGTTCTGGTTACCCATGTCCTTGCTAAGGCTTGTTACTGTCTGCTTTGATTCTAGCCAGTCTAGTGGGTGCGAACTGCTATCTCCTTGTGGTTTTGATTTGTGCTCCCTAATCACAATTTCGTTGAACAGCTTTTCATGTGCTTGTTGGCCATTTGTTTGCCTTCTCAGGAGAAATGTCTATTCAAATCCTGCGCCCATTTTTAAAAATATGTTTATTTTGTTTTGGCTGTGCTGGGTCTTCATTGCTGTGGGCTGGTTACTTTCTAGTTGTGGTGCACAGACTTCTCATTGTGGGGGCTTCTCTTGTTGTGAGCATGGGCTCTAGGTTGAGTGGGCGCCAGTAGATGTGGTACGCAGGCTTAGTTGCCCTGAAGTTTGTGGGATCTTCCCGGGGCAGGGCTCGAATCGGCACCTCCTGCATTGCAAAGCAGATTCCTAACCACTGGTCTGCCACAGAAGCCCCTTTGTCAACTGTTAAAATTG